AAAAAAAAAAAAAAAAAACCCAGCCCAGGTTGATTTTCTTAACATTTACATCAGAAAGAGCCCTCATTGATACAATCACATATTCAGAAATGGGTTTTAATCTTGTACTCAAGAAACTGTATAGGTCAACCAAGGTAACGCATGACAACATGTGTATGTTGTTTACACACATTCCCAGCATTCCTTCAATCATACTTTTTAAAAAATCTAAACACTTTTAGTAGTTATAGGACTGGTTAAGGTTTTCTATTTCTTCTTCAGTCACTTTTAGTTAAGTTACATTTTGAAAGAAATTTGTCTATTTTATCTAAACTTTCAGATGTATATAGCATGATGCTACTTCCAATATCCTTTTATGATACCTTAACAGTCTACTGAATCCATAGTGTTTTCACCTTTTTCATTTCATTTCGTTATTTATACCTCCTTTTTCTTCCTTAACAGTTTCACTGGAGCTTTGTCGACTTTACCACTTTTTTCCCTTTAAGAAAGACAGGGTCTCACGCTGTCACCCAGGCTGGAGTGCAGTGGCATGATCATAGCTCACTGCAGCCTCAGGCTCCTGAGCTCAAGCGATCTGCCCTCTCCTCCTGCCCAAAGTCCTGGGATGACAGGTGTGAGCCACCACGCCTGGCCCCAGATGGAAACTATTTAAGGCTGGGCGCAGTGCCCCACACCTGTAATCCCAACACTTTAGGAGTCTGAGGTGGGTGGACTGCTTGAAATCAGGAGCTCGAGACCAGTCTGGGCAACATAGTGAGACCCCATTTCTATAAAACATACAAAAATTAGCTGGGCATAGTGGCACATACTTGTGGTCCCGACTACTCAGGAGACTGAGGCAGGAGACGACAGGGACTGCAGTGAGCTGAGATCGCACCCACTCCACTCCAGCCTGGGCACTAGAGTGAGACCTTTTCTCATACAAATACATATGTACACACATACACACATATATAAAATATATATACATATATGGTACATATATATGTATATATATTTTATATACATATATAAACAATATATATATAATTTTCCCATTGAATATTTTCTATCTGAATTTCCTTTAAATTCCTTTAGTACCATTCTGCTGGCAATAAATCTTGACATCTCTTGGTCTAAAAGTTTCTCTTTTGTTTTTATTTATTTTTGAGATGAAATCTTATTCTGTCACCTAGGCTGGAGTGCAGTGGCACGATCTCAGCTCACTGCAACTTCTGCCTCCTGGGTTCAAGCGACCCTCCACCCTCAGCCTCTCAAGTAGCTGGGATTACAGGTGCCCACCACCACATGCAGCTAACTTTTATATTTTTAGTAGGGACAAGGTTTCACCATGTTGGCCAGGCTGGTCTCAAATGCCTGACCTCAGGTGATCTGCCTGCCTTGGCCTTCCAAAGTG